CTCTACCTGGGCTGCCTCAGCGGCCTTTTGGACGCCTGGGGCTCATTTCTACACCACTTCTCCCGAGGTCCATTGTTGGCTACTGCTGTGTTTTCTCAAGTGTGTTCTGCAAGGTAGAACTAGTTATTAACTAAGACAAGGCTTCCATTGCCAAAGACAGCTAAGAAGTGCCTTGTTAAATATTATAGTTCAACAGGCTGCTTTCCTGACGGATTTCCCAGGGCCTTTAATATGCTAATATGCATTATGAATTTTGCATTAATGTGCAAAAAAGGAAATTATAAGGACTGCAGAGCCTATCAGCGAGGCCCAGAGCAGCAACCGAAAGCCTGGAGGCAAAGGCTGCTTGTAAAATTCTTTTTTTGTTGTTGTTTTTTTTAATCCTAGTCATCTCTTTATGCAAACTGTTTCACTCATTTTCTTTTTTCCTTCTCTTCACCACCCGCCTCCCCGCCACCCACCCCCACCCCGAACTAAAAAATAAGTCATGGTGAATGAATACACAGAATATCCAATTGACCTGAGTGTGAGTTCAGTGACGTCCGTAGTTCATGTTCTTGCCCCACCATCACCCTGTCCAGCCAAAGACCTCGTCTTTGTTTCTGCAGAATCAAAATTGCCTCCATTAAACAACTCCCCTTCCCCTCCCCCACCTTGGCACCTACCATTCTACTTTTTTTTTAAAAAATTTATTTATTTATGCACATAAGAACTAGGGTATAAGCCAGAGGTGCAAGGGGTGAGAGGATTCACCAGAGACAGAGTGGGGAACAGAACAGGCAGACTGACTGATATACACTGCTGAGGGGAGCAGTGGGCGAGACAGGAGAGGTCTGCTGCGCCGTGTGGGTAGCTCCCTTGCCGGCCAGGGATCAAACTTCTGCTGCAGAGGCTGTGGATAGCTTCACAGTGCTATGCTTAACCCCTTATACCACCAGGGAGGCCCCATTCCACTTTCTGTTTCTGTGGTTTTGATGACTCCAGGTACCTCGCATACAAGTGGAGTCATACAGCCCTTGTTTTTCTGTTTGGCTTATTTTACCCAGTGTCATGACCTCAAGGTTCACCCACGTGGTAGTGTGTGTCAGGTTTCCCTTCCTTTTGAAGGCCGAGTAATATTCCACTATGGGGGGGTCACCTTGTGCTTGTCTATTCATCCACGCATGGATGCTTGAGTTGCTTCTAGTCACCCCCTTTTTCTCCTTCTTTGGACCAGCCCTCAGGACCTTCTAAGGCAGAGTCACTAGGAGAGAGACAAAGACTAGATATCTCTCTGGTCCCCTCCTCTGCCTCACTTCCTAGCTGCCTGCTTCAACTGCTCTTGCCCTCTCTTGGGGGGCACTCCCAGGACCATCTTGGTGCATATCGTTTACTCAAGTCTCTTCTTTAAGCCCCTTATCTTATACTTCCTTCTCCCCACCATATTTTCCTCTCTATCCTCGTGCTTGACCCCAAGTGGGTGCTCCCTGCAGGCAGGTTGAAGAGGATTTGGCCCAAAACATGGTTGGTGTGGCCTTGGTGGACCCAGAGGGGTCTTGATGGGCTACCTGCCTTTGTCCCCAAACACGTCAGTAAGTGGTGCCCACCTTTGAGTTGACCACACTCTGAGACTCCTGAGGTGTCCTTTTGTTTTCTGTAGCAGCCTGATGTGTTTGGGTTTAGTAAATTACTCTGATGACCTCACCCCTGATTTAAAAGGGGGAGGTAAGAAATCCACCCTAAATCCCCCTTGTCCATCTGTGTGAGCTGACTGAGGAGTGGGTCTGTAAGGACAATGCCTCTTGATGCCTTCACAGATAAAGCGTGGCTGGGAAGGGGATGGCCATTGTTGGTTAAGGTTAAGGAAGTGGCTCCAGGTCTCAGAGTTGGGATCCTGACACCATCACCTGCTTGGCTGGCTCTGAAACCCTGGCACCTCGTGGGCATCCCAAGTAACCACAGACGACTCCCTGACTTGCTAATATGGTTATTAGCAAGTGCTGGGGCTGGCAGGGGCTTTATTTAGAGCTTCTCCAAACTGAGTGGTGATCAGAGTTATCTGGGGAGTTGAAAAATGAATTTTGAATGAATCTATGCTGGACTGATGCCTGGATTGATATTTTTAAACATTTCCCAGGTGATTCTGATAATCAGCCAGTGTTGTGATCCTCCTTCATTTTCCAGTTGAGGACACTGGGGACCAGAGACAAGATGCCACAGGCAAGCCCCCTGGGCCCCAGCTCCTTGCTATGTGTTTTCTCCCATGGCCACCGCTGCTTGTGTTGCTCTTTGGCTTCTCCTGCAGGAAAGCCTTTGATGGGGAGAAGGCAGAGACAGCCCCACAGTCCTTCCCCAAGATGGGACTTGCCCCTGGGAAGGAACTAGCCTGCCCAGGTGAGGCCTCCAGGGATGGGCTGCCTCTGCTCTGCTTGTGGCTCTGCAGCTCACATGCTAGGCTTGAGCAATACATCAAAATGTGAACCTTTTTTTTTTAAAGATTTATTTCTTTATGCATACAAGAACTGGGGTGCGGGCCAGAGGTGTGGGGGGGTGAGAGGATTCACCAGAGACAGAGTGGGGAACAGAACAGGCAGACTGACTGAAATACACTGCTGAGGGGAGCAGCAGGTGAGCCAGGAGAGGTCTGCTGCACCATGTGGGTAGCTCCCTGGCCAGGACTCGAACTCATGCTGCAGAGACTGTGGACAGCTTCATAGATTGCATCTTAACCCCTTGTGCCACCAGGGAGGCCCCAAAATGTGAACTTTTTATAGGGAAAGATCTAGATTAGGTGTGTGGGAGGGCCAGGTCCCTACAGAAAGACTGCTCATATTTAATGGGGGTGAGTAGGAGACAGAAAGCAGCCTCATCCCAGCTGGTTTCCTAAGTTGCCTGCATTTGTCCATCCATTCATTCATTCATTCATTCAGTTAGTATTTGTTGGATCCCCTGTGAGCTGGACACCATTCTGGGGGTGTATGCTGTAGGATGACTCCCCCACCTCCGCAGAGCGATCCCTTTGCAGAGTTACATACTAGAGCTGGGATACCCAGACTCTTGATGGGTTCTTTGTTGTTTTCAATAATAGTGATAGCAAAAGGCGTGGGTTTTCTCATTTTATTTACTCAGCCATTCTCTCAAAGGAGGAAATTGAAGTTCGGAAAGTGACCATCTTGCCAGGGTCACAGCATAGGTGGTGGAATCTGTGTTTAGCCCTGTACCCTGATCACAGAGTTGAAAACTGGACTCTCCTTGTACGGCTGCCTGCACTAAGCTCTTGCTTTCCAGCAGGGCAATAAGAAAAAAACTGGCATAACACAAAATTTTATTTGCCCTAAAACTTGCACGATATCGATTGTCATTTAGCATGTGGTGCTGCATAGCCTTTGCTGACTCGGAGGAAGCAGCTCTGCTCTTCCAGAGTGAGCCTCTGTGTGTCTCCCACTTTGCATGGTCCCCAGCAGGGTGCCAGGGAGCAAGGGGCTGTTCCTGGCACCAGCCAGGTGCCCTCTGGGTAGGTGGATCAGTTGCTTCTCCTTCCCTTGGTCTTGCATCCTTCATTATTAAGCTCCTGCAAATCATTTTTGAAAATGAAGGGTTATAATAGAAAATAATTAAAAGTACAGGGACACTGGCCCCATCTATCCCCACTGGGTCCTCTTCTGGGAATGTGGCATCCAGGTGCCCTGTGGCGCCTCTGCCTAGGCCTGGGATGTTTTCATTGGTGATAGGAAAAGAGGTAGAGCAGTGAGTCATTAGTAAAGTGAAATTTAATTTAAAGTAGTTTTTTCATTAGAGGTAGTGTTTGCTTTTTTTTTAAGCATTAAAATTATCCTTTCTCTGCAGAAACGATGATTATCATAGTGGGTGATGGTGTTTTTTTATATTGCTACTGTTTCATGTCCTTTCTTGGTAAAATAAAAAGCTGGCAATGATGTGCCCATTGTCTTTGTGGTTTTACTAGCTGTTGAAAGCCAAAATCTCCTGATTTAAAAGTTACTTGCATCTAAAAAAAATGCCTCCACAGCAATGTCTAGACTGTTAGGTCATAGTTGGAGCCTGTGTGGGTACCGTGTGGTACCGTGGCCTATAAGGTGGACACAGGTGACACCTACTCTCGTGTCTAGTGGATGAGAGATGCAGAAAGGAGACAGGAGTATACATAAGCATTTAAGAACAAGGCCATTTACATTTAAGTGCTGACTTGAAAAGACAAAATGTAGAAAGTATTTAGAGTTGTTGAGGGGGTGAGGGCTGGACTATTCTGGGGAGATTTCCTGGTAGGAACCGAACAGGAGCTTTCAGGACATGGAGGTTTTGGATGAATGAGGACAGAAGACATCAACACTGGTCTGGAAGCCATAGGACAACACTGCTGCTGACATTTCACTAGGTGACTTTATTAAGGGTCTTCACAGACATTGATTTGTTGCAGCACCATTATTTTTAGTTGAGGAGCCCAGAGAGGTTAGGGGATTCATCAAAGGTCACACAGCGTGCCAGTGGCAGGGCAGGTCTTCCTGCTTCAAATCCTGCCCCCCTCCATCTTTTCCCCGCCTTTGTGAGCATAATGAAGTGATGTGACTGTGTGTATGTGGGGGAAGAAGAGGGGAGGGAGAAAGAGAATAAAGGCTTTTCTTAAGAATTCCTGTTATAATAAAAATCAATTGTTTTCTCTCACTCTCTGGCCTTTCTTTCCTTCTTCGCCATCCTTGTTAACGCCCCCTCTTTTCTTGTTTTCTCGCCCTCTCAAGACACGAATGCAGAGTTTGAATCCAGATCCCAAAGCCCAGTACACAAGTATCTATGGAGCCCTCAAGAAAATCATGCAGACTGAAGGCTTCTGGAGGCCCTTGCGAGGCCTCAACGTGATGATGATGGGCGCCGGGCCGGCCCACGCCATGTATTTTGCCTGCTATGAAAACATGAAAAGAACTTTAAATGCCGTTTTCCACCATCAAGGAAACAGCCACCTAGCCAATGGTATTTTGAAAGCATTTGTCTGGAGTTAAAAAGTTCTCTCCTTCAACAGACCTTTCCCCAGGGTTCTCTTCCCTGTGACCCAGCAGCCTGACGCCTCATCTCTGCCACGCTTGCTTATGAATAAAGAACTCTAGAGTCGTGTGTGCCCGCACACCCAAGCACACACGCGCATGCACACGCGTGCGCACACACATACACACACACAGAGAGTCCTTTTTCCGTTCCCCTCCTTTGTTTTCTGAAGCCTGGGGAAAGTCGGTGACAGAGGTGTTTCTGTTTTTATTGTTGTGTGGGTTTTTCATTTTGTTTTTTAAACATTCCAAAGCCATTAATGATCAGATCTAGGAAAACAAAAACCCTGAATAGAAACAAAACTTTTGAATGCTGGATTCCAAAAAAAGTTTGATCTGGACAGCTTCTTTGAGACTATTTAAAAACTGGTTCAACAGGTCTCTACAACGTCAAGATCTAACTAAGCTTTAAAAGGTCAAGAAGTTTTATGGCTGACAAAGGATTTGCACCAGCGCAGATGGCCTTTCTCACCTTAAGCTTCTGGGGGTTTGGGAATTGCACCCCATTTCTGTTCTGTCTGAGTTGCATCTCTGCGAGCAAGGGCTGAAGTAGTTTCCTTTGGTTGTTGCAAGGGGAGGTGGGAGGGGCCTGAGTTTGTGGGCAGCCCTTGCACAGGCCTGTGTTACTGGCTTGGTTGAAGGGTGGGTTTTGCTTGTGATGTGGGTTTGACTGTCAGGTTTTCTCTGAGTATGAATGGGACTGTGGATAGCAGCATAAGGTGCACCTACTTCAAGATTAATCAGTCTTCTACCAGCAGGGCTAGATGTGAGCTGCAGGAACTTTCCCTTCCTGGTCTCAGAACCCGAGAGCACCCCGCCATCCTAAAGCCTTGGTAATAGCTTCCCCTGGCTGGTTCGCAGACCTTTGTTTTACTTATTAAAAACTGGCCTCTAGTTGCATTTATTGAGATGGCCATGTAGACCCATGCTCTGATGCACCCCGAGTCTGTGGCCCTCTTGCTGAAATTGCCTTATGTAATGGTTTCGCTTGATCACTAAACCTCTTGAAGGGAATTTAACCGAACCCAATTTATTTCAAGTTCTGCCCAGTGCTGTCACTGCTGTGTTTTGTGTGCCGGGTGCTTTTTGACCTTTGGATAAATGTGCGTGGAGGAAGGAAGGGAAGTATATGCATTTCTGAAGGCTCATCCGGTGTCCGTCAGTCCTCCACCTTCCAGAGGTTATTTTAATAATGGGCAGTGTCACCTGCAGAGGGAGAACAACCAAAGCCAAAAGCAAAATTCCAGTCTGATTCAGTCTTTGGAAGTTCCTGGTTTTGGAAATCAGACAGGATGAGCCCCTCAGAGGGGTCCGCCAGCTCCGAGACCAGCTTTACAGACTAACCCTGGACATGCCACATGCAGATTTTCCTGAGCCTTCCCCTGCCCTTGCCTGTTTTCTTAAAAATGCCTCAATTTAACTAGGGATTTTCTTAAAGATTTCTGACTTTAACCCTTTTCGCTGTGTACATGACCTTATCCCCTTCGACTGTTTCAGCTTACGGGCAGAGGGAGTTGATCTGTAGACAAAGGCCAGGGACAAGAGAGAATTAAATCTATATAGTGGAAAAAGCCATCAGGTGTGTTTTCCGAGCACCATCAATGTTGGCCGGTCTAACCTTTTCACAGGGTTGCCTACAGGAAAGGAAGTGAGGTTGCTGCAAGATTAAAATGTGAATAACTCTGTCTGTGTTACCCCCTCATTTTTATTTAACATTTCCATGGTCATTTGAGGATTGTAAGAGTCAATGCTTATCTGGGAGGAGTTAGTAGTAAATTTTCATTCTTAGAAAACTATATCCAGGATTCCATCTGGTTTTAGGTTCCAGGAGCTTCCTGAGATCAACCAATCCCACCCAGAAGGTAATTTTTTGGAGTTTGTTTTGCAGGGATAGCTGGGAGTATGGCCACCCTGCTCCACGATGCGGTAATGAATCCAGCGGAAGGTAATGTTTCATCGTCCCAGGGAGTGGCAATCGGGTTGTGCAAAGGGGCAGGAGAAAATGTGGCTGGAGGTGTGGGGGGCACAGAGGGTCAGACAGGTGACGCCTGGCTCCCAGAAGAAGCAGAATTCTTTAGCACCTTGTTAGAGACCTGGAGAAGGAGTGCAGGCATTTGAACTACATGGTATTCCTGTTATCTCTAACAGTGTGATTCCACGTAACGGCAACATTCCTGGGAGCATGTTAGAAGTGCTGATTCCTAGGTCCCACACTAAGGTCAAAAGCTCTGGGGATAGAGACAGGGAATCTGTTAATGAGCTCTCCTTGTGATTCTCTTGCACACTTTTTTCAGTGCTCTAAAACCTGTGCTCCCGCACACACAGACCCACAGACCCACAGACACATAAACACACATCTTTCCTCTAGCCCATAGAAATCTGTATCAGCCCTAGACAAATTTAGGGGAACCCATCAAAGGCCATTTATTAGGACTTATGTTCAATTTGCTTTTTTAAAACATGAGTTTATTGTGGGAAATTTCAAACATATGCAAATATAGAGGAGATATTCTTTTGACCCTCTGTGTAACCCTCACTGCACTTCAAAGATTCACATTTGGCCATACTGTTTCATCCTGCCTTTTCTTTTTTCTTTTGACTTGGGAACATTGTAAAAACAATTCCTAGCTGAACAGATTGGAATTCTGTCAGCTTTTTCTATGTCCTGGTGTCCTAAGGTGACTCAGTCTGAATAGTGAGGGCCTATAGGCCTGGGCATACTCTCCACCAGGTGTCTTTATGTGAGGTGGGGGACTCTACCTCCCTCCCCACCTGAAAGGGGTCCTTGCAGACGGAAACTTGAAGGTAAAAATTGCAACATATTAGTTTGAGTTTGTTATACTTCTCTGTGTTTTGTCTTTTAAAGTTTCTTATTTGTTCTCAGCTGTTTGCATAGCCCCATAGACTGGGGACTTGTGACTGGGACTTGTTCTGATATTTAAGGATGTGATGTGTCAAATTAGGAGGTGGGGTTTTCTTTTTTTTAAGGGAGGGAGGAGGGGTTCATGCAGACACTTGGTCAGTGAACAGTTAGTTAACATGTCTCCCATGGCAAAAGTATTTATATTTTTTAAAGAGAAAAAATGAGACTCAATTCTGTCCTCTTTGTATTGTACTAATTTAAGGACTTCATTTCTTTAAAAGTAACGCATATTATTGGAGTTTATCTGGCAATGCATGAGGACAATTTAAACTCTGTCTGAGGGACCATAGTTGGCCCCCATTTGCCACCTGTCCTTTAAACCATCAGTTACTTTCGTGTTAACAGAGCTAGGAACTTAATTGGAGTTCATCATTAAACTTGGACTGACATAATTCTAGTGTCTCTTCCAAGAATACTGTGACACTGACATTAAAAACACTCAGAAGCACAGGCCACTGGGAACTAAGGACAGAACCCTTGCACTGGGAACTGAGGGGGCAGTGGGTCAGGGGCCAGGATTAGGTTGGCAGCCACTTCTACCCAGTGCAGCCAGCATCTCGGGGATGAGATCAGTGAATCTAAGTGGCTGCCTGCTTCCTGGTTTAGGAACCACCTTAAATAAGATTCAGGCAGGAGAAACTTCATGAACTAGCCGCTTTCCTGGCCCTAAGTCTGGAGCCACGTTTTTAATAGGATTGCCTGGAGCTGGCCCTCCGTGGCTTCTCAGGCTGGGCTGTGTGTGTGCTGGCTCTTTGTGACTTGTTACCGGTGTGTCTAAACTCGCTTGTTTCTCTTTATGGCTTGGCTTCCTATTTCACTCCGACCCGGGGTGGGGCCAAACCCAACCAACTGCCCGTCTGGCCTGCCCTGCCTGTGGACAACAGTTGTGAAGCAGCGCTTGCAGATGTACAACTCGCCACACCAGTCGGCCCTCAGCTGTATCTGGACGGTCTGGAGGACCGAGGGCCTGAGGGCCTTCTACCGGAGCTACACCACGCAGCTGACCATGAACATCCCCTTCCAGTCCATCCACTTCATCACCTACGAATTCCTGCAGGAGCAGGTCAACCCTCACCGGGGCTACAACCCTCAGTCCCACATCATCTCAGGTGGGCTGGCTGGGGCCCTGGCCGCAGCCACCACCACCCCACTGGACGTCTGTAAAACCCTTCTCAACACACAGGAGAACATGGCCCTCAACCTGGCCAACATCAGCGGCCGGCTGTCAGGCATGGCCAACGCTTTCCGGATGGTCTACCAGCTCAACGGCCTGGCCGGCTACTTCAAGGGCATGCAGGCCCGAGTGATCTACCAGATGCCCTCCACTGCCATCTCCTGGTCTGTCTATGAGTTTTTCAAGTACTTCCTTACCAAGCGCGAGCTGGAAAATCGAACTCCATACTAAAGGAGCAGGCTGTGGGAAGTGATTCCGGAGTCTTTCGTTTTCAAAAGGCTTTCCCTGCCTGCTTCCATTCCTGGCCCTCACACCAAGATTGTGTTTGCAGGGTGGGCCTTCACTCTCGACGCCCTAGAGAGAGAGGAGGACAGGACAGCTGCTCTCCAAGAAGGCCGTCCACAGGCACATCCGAGGTGGTGGTAGGTGGGGAAGGACTTTGGAAGGGGAACGAGAAATTGCTTTTTCTCTTCCTCCCCTAAGAGGAATGTAGCTTTTCTGCTTCACTGGAACAGTCTCCTCCCTAGAATCATAGATCACGTGGGAGGGCAGAAAATGTGCGTGACTGAAAACATTAAAGAAAAGAAGTGTATGTATATAAAAGTTCCAGTACACAGTGTAAAATAGATGGATAATGTTTATCCTTTATTTTTCTACATAGATGTTTTTGGATTTGTGTGTGTGACTGTGTGTGTGTACAACTAAGTGTTACAGCTGGAAATAGAAAGCTGATTTAAAAAAAAAAGATGCAGAGGGCTGTATCTTTCCACAGGGGAGGTAATAAAAAGCTCTGAAGTAATCAACTGCTGAATATGGCCTAAAATTGTGTTGAGCCCCTGGTGGAAGTTTGACTTGAATGTAAAATAATAAAGTTTTTATTTTGAATTTCTCTTTTCATGGGGGACCAAAAGGTACGTTGAACAACAACAAAAAAAATAATTTACTACTAGCCACTTTTTTCCAATTGTTTGGTCTTACCTTCATGTGCCTTTTCCCTTACGCTCCTAAAAATCCCAGAACCATCTGCCTGGGGTAGTTTCTCTTGCTGTATGTAAGCCACATGCTGGGTGGCAGGGTCACCTACTGGGCGGTTTGGTTTTCTTTCCTTGTGAATGACAGGAGTATGTGCTCCCAGGGTCAGCACTTACAAGCCCTGGAGTGCCAGTGTTGGGCCACTTAGGGGCAGGTCGTTGGGATTAAACCGACCTTGATCTAGGACTTCATTCATCAACCTTTTATGCAGGCACTTCAGGTATTCTTGACTATATTGACTAAATCTCTTGACCTCCTGTTTTCATGTTCAGTTTTAGGGATTTAAAAAAAAAAAAAAACAACCTAACAAGTGTGTCTATGGCATTTGTGTCTCCCCTGCCTGCCATTAATTCCTTTCAGAGGTTCACAACGTACGGCAACAGGAGCCAGGTTCTGGAGCCAGCCGGCTGCTGAATCAGACCCTAAGGCACAAGTCGGGTGCCTCTCCAGCGCCATCCTTGGCCTCGCCTGGTCTGCTGAGGATGGAGGGCTGAGCCACCTTTTTCTCTGGATTGGTGTGCTGGAGCTAGATTACCACTAAGAAAACGCAAACCTGTTTCCGCCAGCCTCACCCTTCACCCTTCGACTGATTCCCAGACCCCTCTTCAAGACCGGATGGCTTCACAGTTTCCTTTTGGAGCCTTTTTAAATGAGCAGGAAGCATGTGTGTGTTTTCATTTTGGAAGGCCTGGTCCTGACCTTGGCCATGACCTCAGGCAAGATGAATGTCATGCAGCTCGCTGTGGCGCACACTGAGCTCTTGGATGCTGTTACCTCCTGGGAAGAACTCAGGTGGCCCTGGACAGTTCTCATCTGGGGCCCTGCACTCAGTGCCTCCAGCTGTGCTTTCTGGTCAGAGAGGAGTATTGCCTCAGACAGCTTCCACGAGCACCCTGTGAGTGAGCCCCTGCTTTGGAGTTGGGGGCACATCCACTGGTGTCCCACTAGGGGGTGCACAAAGCCCGTGGAGATCATGCACTATGAGAAGTGTTTACATCTCTTCATGTGCCTGCCTTACTGTTCAGTTCTGTGAATGGAAGGAAATACTAGATCAAATTCTGAAAAAATTAGTCACCCCTTTTTATCCACTTACAATATATCACACAGCTTGAAAATGTTCCTTATAGCACTATTTTTTTTCTACAATATTTAGAAAAGCTGTCCACCTCCCTAGGAAAGTTCATTGTGGAGGGAGACCAAATGGAAAGGTGGGAAGCGATTGGGAGAGTCCCTTGGCTGCTCCTGAAAGTCTGGGATTAGCTGGAAATGCTTTCCCCACTGGGTCATCCTGAGCTGAATGAGCTGTGTTACTGAAAAAGCTCTGAAAGTTGTGAAGCACTATAAGTGGTCATTCATTTTGTGGGAAATGACTTCCCCTGGCCCTGAGCTCCAGTCTCTGCTGTTGCCCCATGCAGATTGCAGTCCAGCTGCTTGTGGCTGACTTTGCAAAGTTCTGAACAGGAAAAATGTTCTCCCCGCTCCCCAGGCCTGACACAATCATGGCATGTGTCCTTGGTCCTTGGGAGTGGTGTCTGCAGCCAGACAGAGCCACTGGAGTATGGTCCTCACACGTGAAGTATGTGCATGCTTGCACACATGTGTGAGCTCTTCTTAGACCACTATTTGAGATGCAACCACTTGTACATCAGTTTTACTTTACCTCTCTTTTTTCTTTTTGTCTTTTTGCTTTCATGCTTATTTATTTTTGTTAGAATTGATTTTCCCAAATGGGATGAATCTTCAGCCCATGCCTATTTTTTTCTTAACTTTGGATTGAATCCAGCCATTTGCCTGGACTACATGTGTGGGTTTTTTTTTTTTTAATGTTGGTGTATTATTTCAAATGTTGTCCTCCAAAGTCCCCCTCATCTCTAACACATTAAGCCAAGAAAGTTTTATTTATCTTTATTTAAGAAAGGTGGTGCCTGTTAAATGCGATTGTATTGCTGCTTCCTGCCTGCAAACGCACAATGTATGTTATCAGGGTGAATAAGTCTTATTTCTTAAATACCTCTAGTGAATATCATTGTTTTTGCCTCTCCTTTGTTGCCAACTATTTGAAGAAGGGGAGAAATGTGTGTTTATGAGTGGGGATGTTTCTGATATGCTGCTAAGGCTGTGACATGAGCTAGAGAAAATAAAGCCTCGATCTCTGAAGTGTTGTGATTCTGTGGGGGGAGTATTTAAGAGGTCATGGACAGAAGTTACCTGATTCATGGGCTTTTTTGCCTATTCCAGTCACTCATTAAGGACTGGGACCCATGGTTTTGGTGGGTCCCAGCCACCAAAACAGAGTGCTTTTTCAGCCTCTTGTGAAAGTGGGAGCAGATTCCCTCCTGGGCTGCCGGAACCGCCCATGTTATCACCTAGGCCAGGCGCTGGAGCCTCCTGCTGGCTTTGCTCACAGTGCTGGGGAGGCGTGGGAGTGGGAGTGGTACAGGTTATACCTATGTGGTATTCACAGTCCTGGGGCCCGCTAGGGTGATGTCCTCGCTTGTGTGTGTGTGTGTGTGTGTGTGTGTGTGTGTGTGTGTTCGCGCGCACGCGCATATACACACGCACACACACAGTGGAGGTTCTGGAGCCCTAAACATGGAATACTCAGAGGGTAGTCCTTCCAACAGGTCACAGCTTGAGCCAGAGAACTAAACCTTTTGGGGAGGTGGGGGTGGGGGTGGTCCTGGTTTCCTTTGGGAAATCAGGGGTAACACCTTCACAGGGTCCCGCAGGTCAGAGGTGCTATCTCCACGCTGACCACTGAAAGCCTCGGGGGTGGAGAGTCTATGCAGGTGGGCTCTGAGGACCAGCCATGCATGGGCCAGGGTACCAAAAGGGGATACGGATGCTAATGAAATACTGTGCCTCTCAGAGGTGGCCTGAAGTTGCAGTTGCGTCCCCTCCTCTGTGGGTGTCCGGCCTGGAGGTCCTGTTTCAGCACACATGGATCTGGTCAGTCAGTGCTGGCAAGCCTGGTGCCGTGGGGGGAAAGCCAGTGGAGAGGTGGCTTCCACCCGGTTGGGCCCTATAGCCTAAAAAAGTTCAGGGAAGACATGATCTTAGTGCAACCAAATCTACCCTGCCCAGTCTGTTGAGGCCACGCTGTCCGGCCAGTGCTTGGGACCTGCCTCAGTGATGTTCAGCATTCAGTGGTGTCTTGCTGGACATGAGCTTGAAATCAGGGAAGGTGGGAATATCTACCGCACAGAAAGAAGCAGGTGTCCTACATCAGGACTTTTAAAGAGCTGATTCCCCAGTCTACCCTCCTTGGGCTGTGGCAGGTGTTTGCTGATAGGAGGATTCGCTACATGAGTGCCTCCTCTTCAACTCAGGGTCCCCTCCCGTGTCCGTTCCCTGAGTTCCCCTTGTGATGAGGCCAGCTGTCTCTTCGGAGCCCTCTCCAGCACGTCCTCACCCCTCAAGTTCCAGCCCTGGAGCAGCAGTGAGGGGAGATACCCCTTCCTCCTCTCTGCGTGGGCTCCCAGCACCTCCTGTTGGTTGATCCCCTCTCAGGAGACTCCACTCCTCCCTACAGGAGTGGCCTTAAGGGGACACCAGAGAAGAACAGGAAAAGCCCCCTGTTGCACAAGGAAGACACCAGCAGGGAGGGAGTGAGTGACTTTTGAGAAGGTTGTCTCTGGCACCAGGCAGAGTGCAGGAGCGGCCTGAGAGTGATGAGTACATTTGGGAAAACAGCTTGATTTGCAGACATCAGGCCTTATAGGAGATACCCTTGTGGTGAGCAGCAAACGAGCTTTAACTTCCATCTCAGGTTATGATCCATCATGAAGGATTGTTGAGCCATGAAGAGAGCTTGGTCTGAGGAATAATCGTCTGGCAGAAGTGGACAGGATGACATGGAGACGGAATCATGAGGAGGCCAGGTTGGTTTGTCTCACCAGTGAAATTCACAGGAGGGCTCATGAAGGGAAAGACAAGGGAGACTGTAACTGAAGGAGTATAACCAGTGAGTGCAGATGTGGAACCAGCAGAAGTCTGGGTTGGGGAGGGGGACTGGAGGGCAAGATAACAGGTGGTCTGAAAGAAGTGATACGGCAGTGTCTGGAGAAAGGTCTGCTTGGGAGGAACAGCAGGTGATGGCAGAGAAGGTACCTCATCTCTGAACCCACTGATCTCTCAGTCCACATTCTCCTTGGCCTGCCCAACACTGGAATGCTGAGTGCTTGGCCAAGAGCGCCCTCTAGCTCCCAGTCTCAGCTTCCATTTCCCTGCCTTCCTCCAGGCTGCCCACCTTGACTAGCCTTTCTGGTTCCCCCAGCAGCTTCATTTCCTTTCTGCGCCACCTAAGCATGGCTGCTCTGGAAGGTTCTACCTTTGGCTCTCCTATCTGTCTACACCTCGGTGCTGATCTGCCTTAATGGCTTCAATTGGCCCTTCTGAAAAGATAATTCACAAACATGGGCTGTAAGCACCTGACTTTCCTCCTGAGTTCCAGATCTAAATATCCAGGTGCCGACTGAAGATTTCCCAGATCTCTTGTCCCCTCAACCTCATGAGATGCCCCCCCACCCCAACCCCTGCTTGCAGAGGCTTCCCTTGTCCCTGGCTCATCACCTCCAAGGGCTCCTCCATTCTTACTGACTAAAAATAGGCTCCCCAACATATGCCAATGCTAATTTAGTCTCATGCAAAAGGGGAGCAGGATGGATATATGAGCCCATAGGCTATTCTCATTAGCAGGGCGCTACCGCCTTTCTAGGCCTTTATTCCCATTGGAATGTCCACCCCTTTTCCTAGTGCCTCCCAAGCTCCCCTCTGTCCATCAAAGCTCTATGCTGAAGGTGCCATTTCCTACCCACAGCAAAGCGCTTCCAGATACTCTTCTCAGAGGTGATCTTGTTCTTCTCGTCAGCACCTGGCCTAGGCTTCTGCTTCTACCTCACGCTGTCCTTCCCCACAGGCTGCCCAGAACATGTACCCTTGAGATGTATTCACCTTGTGTTCTATATGGCCCTCCAGCTGGCTGCTTTTCCCATTCTGCATAAGAGCACAGTCATTGTTAATTGCAGTTAGCTGACTCTAACTATGGGAATGCATATGGAGATCCCTGAAGGAATGGCAGTATTGGTGCTTGGGAGAAAAGTCAGAATTTAGCTAAGGATTTGGCAGTTATCACAAGGGGTGTGATGGACAGTCCAATAAACTCCTCTGTGAGAAGGAAGAATATGAATCCAGATGATACTGACAATGTTTTAGTCTTTGACTCAAGGCAATCAAAGCCTCATCATTGACTTCGAGTCCTCATCAGTTTCTGTTGCTGTCAAGGACTCACTACTGAAAGCTCTTGAAGACATCCAGAGCTACATGAGGGACTATGGATTCTGGTTCTCCATTATTGTCACATTGGTCGTGGTAGTGGCTGCCTTTAAGAGAAGAGGCGGTTTCAAAAGAAGAAATAGAAATTAGTGCTGAGAGTGCTTGCTCTCATGAGTGTCATGATTCTGGCTGCCTGGTAAATAGTGAAAACACAGCAGTAGATGCTTCTAGCTTAGGTTGACACATAATGAATATATATCCCTATTCACATTTTGAGCTTAATGCAACCAGGTGAGTGAAATATTGGGGCAAGTTTTCTCCCTTTCCTTGATTATATCTAAAGTTTTGGAATGAAATAATTGCACATTTTAATGAAAATAATTGTGGATATCCACAGTATCTTTTTTTTTTTTTAACTTTGAATTGGGGTATAGGCCAGAGGTGCAAGGTATGAGAGGATTCACCAGAGACAAAGTGGGGAGCAGAACATACTGACTGAAATACACTGCTGAGGGGAGCAGCAGGTGAAACAGGAGAGATCGGCTGTGCCATGTGGGTTAGCTCCCTGGCCAGGGATCGAACTCTGGCCTTAGCAGTGATAGCACTGAGACTTAACCCCTAGGCTACCACGGAGGCCCCACAATGCCATTTTTCTGTATTTCTGGGCTTCATGAAGTTTTAAGGGGCACTGCTTTATAGTAATCTCTTCAAATATCGAGAGTCCTTAACAATAATAGAAGTTCTGGAGACTCCAGGCAATGCCCAAACTTCGATGGCCTTAAAGTCACCAGCCTGGAAGCTGGTAATATCCAATTGCTAAGAGTTTCCTTTGTTTCTTGCTCTCAGCCTTTTCGTGTTGCAGTGAACTAGGGCTGGGGAGAGCACTCATTCACAGATGTTCTTAGAGTCTTAAGGTTGTGCTGCCTCCCAGTGCCTCCCAGTGTCCCCTCTGTCCATCAAAGGTCATGCTTCTTCGGGCCTCCCCAGTGGCGCAGTGGTTGAGCGCTGGGTTGCGAAGCTGCCCGCAGCCTCTGTGGCGCCGGTTCGATCCCCGGCTGCTCCCTGGGCCACAGGAGGAGTGTCCCACATGGCGCGCAGAACTCTCCTGCCGCCCGCTGCTCCCCTCAGCAGTGTACCTCGGTCCTTCTGCCTGCTCTGCTCCCTGCTCTGGCTCTGGTGAATTCTCTCACCCTCCTGTGCTTCTGACTGTACCCAGTGCATGTATAAACAAAACAAACAAACAAACAAATAAATAAATAAAACATGCCTCTATAAAAAAAAAAGGTCATGCTTCTTCTGATTGCTGATTTGACTTAGATCAAACCTTGTTTATTGACGCCGTCTTGAATTTCCATGTTGGCTTCTATAATCTTTTTTTTTTTGTTTTTCTGTTTTGTTTTGTTTTGATTTTTTAATTTTATGTATTTTTTACCTTTTTCAGTTTTGCACAATGTATTCATTTTCATTTTGATTATAGTCCCCATACAATTCCCACCACCCTTGTTTTGATCTTACTCCCTTCTCTCCCCCCACCCCCCATAGTGTGTCTCTGGTTTATAGTTGCTTGTTGATTTTGATTTTTACTTTCTTATAGTTGTTCTTTTTCCTGGTCCCTTATTTAAGTTTTCTAGATTCCTGCTATGAGTGAGACCATCCGGTATTTTTCTTTTTCTTTCTGGTTTATTTCGCTGAGCATGATCCCGTCCAGCTCCATCCATGTTGCTGCAAATTGCATGAGTTTATCTTTTTTGACTGCTAAGTAATAGTCCATGGTGTATATGTACCACAGCTTCTTGATCCAGTCATCTATTTTGGGACATTTGTATAACCCTTTTGTTTTTTTAAGATCAGTAAGTTTCTAAATGCCAAATTTGAAAAGCATACAATTGCCTTACAGTGAAATACTAATACATGGAAAATTTTTTGAATTTGCTGTATAATGAAGTAATTTATTCACTTTGTTCTATTTTAACCATTGAGCACACAGTGAATAAAGATCTAGATGTTAGTCCTGGAGATCACTAACTGGTTGAGTGACCTTGAGTGGCCTTGAACATATTATTTAATCTCTATGGTCTATAGTTTCTTTATCAGCAACATGAGAGGGTTGGGTCACAAGCCCTATAAATAGTTCCTCCAGATTTGATAACCTATGTTTATAGTACATGCTATCCAGCC